CCTGCTGTCACTATATTTGTCTCTTCAGTGTCACCCCTTTTTTTTTTTTCATTTTCACTCCTCCAATATCTATGTAACTAATTCCTTCCATTAAATTCTCCCTGTTAAGGTAACAGGTGGAATATCTGTCTTTCTCACTGATCTGACAGATGCATGGATGGTTTAACTGTCTGCTCTTGCCCCAAATTGCCCCTCTTAATGAGGAGCTCCAGCTGGGCCCTTCAAGGTCAAATGTCCATGAGGGGATAAAGGTCAATCACAGCAAGAAATGATGATTGTCAAGCCTGAAGATGCATTTTTCCCAGAAGCTCGCACAGCCCACCTATTCCCAATCTCCAGTATGCAATATCTTTTCCAAGGTTAGCAGAATTATAAAAACATCCATTTGGCCATTATTGACTTTTCAACCGGGATGCTAAGAATGTCTTCCAGCAGCCCCAATAAATTAAATCTGGCCACCTAGCTCCCAGACGGGCAGGCTCCTACATCATTGACAGAGAAGACATTTACAGCTGTGGCTGTAAATGATGTGCATTGTGCTCACACCATTAGCAGGTGGGCAGATTGCAGAGCTGCCTTTTTTAAAAATGCATAAGCACTTTGTGAGTTTGCTAAGTCATGTTGTGCTCAGCTCAGCTCAGAATTTTCATAGGGGAGAAATATTCTGTAGTCTTTCCTCTTTTACTTATTCTTTATGGGTAAGGACTTCCACCATTAGGGCTGCAGTGGAAAGGGACCATGTGCAGTCATACCATTTGCTTGCTTGGTCCTCAGTTTTTCAATGTTGTAAAACGTTGGAAGATTTGGATTTTAAGGACTAGGGCAATTGAGTTTCCTGCCCCTCCCCATTTAATCCAAACTACAAATTCCTCCCAGCTCTGGGTTCAACTTAGATGGTGTGTCTTCAGGTACACTTTTATTCTGGAAGACTCATCCATTTGATTTGTGAAATTCTAAGCACTGCACTGCAAAGGAGCTTTCCTTCAAACTATCCCCTGATCACACACTGTGTGCGAGGCACTGTCCACGCCTGTGGTTAGTCTCTGCTCCCACACCAAAGTCAACCATGACTGAATGCTCGGTAGACAGTTTTCCTGATGAGTCCAGTTATAACATCAGTGTCCTTCCTACTATGACGCTCCAGCCAGACCTAAGAATTGGTTGTGGAAACACATAATAATCATATCTAACAAGCTCCTGATTTGTTTTGTTGATCAGTGTCTGGCTTATACTAGAACAGAAAGGTATGAATGAATGGAATGCTTATTGGGGGCCCCAAATCATGAAACACCTTTACGTGAACTATCTCATTTAATTTTCCAAAAACCCCTGTGAGGAAGATATTTTTCAGATGAGGAAACTGAGGTAGAGAGGTGATGTAATGTATCCAAGCTGACCAATTGTGGGTCCTGACTCTGGAACCTGAAGTCTGCCCTGCTGTGTTATCAGCTTGATACAATTCAACATGTGCATTTGACTCATTCATTCATTCATTTATTCATTTATCAAACATTGATCAAATCTCTTATGTGCCAGTTAACAAAAATGATATAATATCCAACAAATTCAGAAATGGTTTATTTTAAAATGAGGTGGAGCTATTAGGCCCTTTGAGTAACAATTATTTAATAAACCCCAAAAAGGCAATAGATTTTTTTGCTTTTTTAATATCAATAAATCAGACTTTTCTTGGAATGAAATGGTTTTTCTCCCCACAGCTGGCTAACCAATTGTATCCTATTTTCTCCTCAGGATGGAGAGAATGATTATAGGCAGTATTGAGCAACCTCAGCAAATTGGGGGCAAAAGTATGTTGCAATTTGAAGTACCACAGTATCCATGAGGTTGTTATTTGCTATCATTGGGAGGGATTCTCAACTACCCTGAGTTACCTTTCATAGATTCTTCCACACTTCCCAGGCCTGGCGGGCACAGGCCAGTGGTCAGTGGGAAAGGCGAGGGTGAAAGTGTTAGCACTCATGCGGGTTACTTCTCTGTTCCACTTTCAAACTTCTGCTTGTGGTGAAGTTCTTGGTGAGGGGCGGGGTCAGACAGACCATGCTCCCAGAGAGGAAATGGGTGGTTATCTTCTCACATTCGATGATTTTTCAGATTTCACTGTAACTCTTCACACAGCACCTCCAGCCAGACTGCAGTAATCCCACCTTCTCCCTTGATTTCAACATAATATATCAACTTCAGAAGCCATCTCATGAGTCATCTTGCCAAAATGGTAAAATATTCAAATGTTCTGATAAAACACTGAAGCATGTGGTAGTATGACAGACCCCATTAAAATTAAGTTGTTCAATTTCACTTTAATAGTGATAGCGCCTAAAATGCGTGAAAAATCATTCTTCTATTTGCCTGGAAGCTGGAGGACCCCAGCTGATGTTTGAATCCATGATCATCCCAGCTGTTAAGGGAGGAGATAGCTGCCCGTGTGCCAGGATGTGGGCTTCACATGCAGTGGAGTGCTGCGTGCAGGTTCTACACGAATACACTGGGCTCCCTCACACGATGATGTTTGCGTTGTTAAATGGCTTTTAGAAAAGCTTTGACTTTCCCTCTAAGCCCCCTGACTGAAATGCTTTACCACGGGGAGAGTAGCTCTTGAGCAGAAAACCACAGGTCTTGCATTTCTGTGGGTTCAGCAGGTTTTATGAGCAACGTATTTTGTCTTCTTGGTTTAAGGTAATAGGCAGGTATATCCCAGCATACATTTCTCCTCCTCCTCCTTTCTGCCTTTCCTCTTTTCCTCTTTTTATTTATTTATTTATTTTTGTTTGTTTGTCTTAAGGTTAAGTTCAACATTTGAACTTTTCTCAAAAACGATCAAACTAGATCAACTCTGGATTGGTGTCAATTACATTTTTTTGACCCAATTAATTGGAGCCATTTCTCCATCAAGTCATATTAGTACGGGGAAGGCCGGGTGTGGAGACGGCGAGGCAGTCTCCTTCTGAAGGAGAGAAACCATCTCCTGGAAATCAGGGCTGGCAGACAGCAGCCCTCCCCTATTGCTGTGATTTTCAGTCACCAGCTGGCACGTGTTGAATGGTCTCTGTTGCATGGAAGATACGGATTTGTAATAGCCTAGGATAACTAGCACATTAGTGCCATGGCGATTCCTTCTGCCTAAATGGATTGTTGCAGTGCATTTAATGGGGATATAAATTCAGTGATTACTTAGTCCCATTTTCAAAAGTGGTTTGGAAGAGAGGGTATACATGAGAGACACTCTTGGAGTTGTGATTTACGGGGACTTTTTTGTTTTACTCCCTTTGGAAAACTGTATCAAGGTAAGTTGCTATAAATCGTTAAATCATCTAGCTATGTAGAGGGCAGGCACTGTACCAGAAGACAGGACATAGCTTTCCATATACTTCCCATCCTAGGTTTCCTCTACTTTGATCATATGTGAAATGGCAATAAAGTGTGACCTTATTACAAAGTGGCTCGTTATTTATGAGAATAAGATAGCATGCACATCAAAATTGGGTCGCCTGTAAAACATATAAAGATGCTACATTATCCTTGTCCCCAATACTATTGTGGTATCATAAAGGGGTTTTGTGTCCCTTTATTTTTTTTATGGCTTAAGTGCAACGGACTGTAATGAAGTGCCCAGTGCATAATATATGAACAGCAAACAGTATTGGGTTTGTGACTCCAAGGAGACTGTGGTTGTTTAGAGGGTGGGAAGCTGGAAACAGTGACTGATATTTAGGAAATGGCTTTGTGCCATGACTGTGAATTTTCTAGCTCAAGGAGCCACCAACTGTGTATCTGAAAAATGGCTTCCGTGCAGCGAGTCAGGACTCAGGGGAACAGGGAGAGAAGGAGTCACAGTGGCTTATGTGTAACCTAGTGGATCAGGTAACTAAAAAGTCCCCTGGTAGCTTCAGGTATGGCTGGATCCAGGTACTTAAAGGTCATTATGCAGATCCAGTCTTTTGCTGAATTTCTACACTGTTCCCTGATCTATTTGCTGGGGTTACAACAATGGACACTTCACTGTGCCCACCTTAGGGACTCATGATATAGTAGCTGAGATGCAGAAGGCAAAAAAGAATTACAGGAGAATGTGATATGTGCAATAATAAAGACACACGCACAAAAACCAACCAAACCATAATTCAGAGGGAAAAAAATGACATCTTTTCTGAGTTAGAGATGAATAAAAACTTCAGAGTGAAGTTAAACCTTGAATGTTGTTTGAAAGGAGAAGCAGGAATTTTATGGACAGGGATACTGAAGAAAACTGGTTAGTTGCCGTGCCAATGGTATTTGGGAGGTCTGTATTCAAATCCTAGCTCTGCCACTTACAATTTGTGCAAAGTGTGGCAAGTCGCTTAAATTCTCATGGTCCTAGTTTGCTTCTCTGGAGCTGCTGAGTTCATAGAATTATCATGAGGATCTGACGAACTGATGGGTGTGCAAAGCTTACACGGGGACTCTCACAAAGTAAGCCCTCCCTGACTGACAGCTGTCATTCCACCGTTACCCAACTGCTATCACATGGAGCATTGAATTAGGATTTAGCATCAGCCACAGTAAACTGGGCTCGCATTTACTGCGTGCTTACTGTGTATGAAGACGTCACTTGACTTACCTAAACTCTCTCATCGACAACTCCAGGTAGTAGCAAAATTGTTATCCTCATGTCACAGGTGAGGAAACCGAAGCTTTGAGAATTTAAGGGTCTGCCACCATAACAAGGTTAGTAAATGGTGTCGCTGAGTGTCCTTACCCAGGGCTATGTGACTGCAGTGCCCGTGGGTTTAAGCATTCTACTGTATTTCCTCTTACACCACGTGCCATTACTAACCTCCTTGCCTCACGGGGCATGGCTTCTGAAAACCACCCCTGTTTCTAAAAACATGCCCGTGGGTGCTTGTGCGCGTGTGTTCAGGGGCTGTGCTGCGACTCCAGCACATTATTTAATGTTAATTATTAATGGCTGGCATTAATCGCTTGGGTCCTGTGCTTCCTTGCAGGTGAGCCTTCTAGGTGGTCATCCTCACATTGCGATTGCTGCTGCAAGAACGGCAAGGGTGACAAAGAAGGGGAGAGTGGCACATCTTGCAACGACCTCTCCACCTCCAGCTGCGACAGCCAGTCCGAGGCCAGCTCTCCCCAGGAGACGGTCATCTGTGGGCCCGTGACACGCCAGACCAACATCCAGACTCTGGACCGTCCCATGAAGAAGGGCCCAGTGCAGCAGATCCAACAGTCCGAGATGCGGCGGAAAAGCGATCTGCTCCGGACCCTGACTTCCGGCTCCAGGGAGTCGAACATGAGCAGCAAAAAAAAAGCTGTGAAGGAAAAGCTCTCCATTGAGGAAGAGCTGGAGAAATGCATCCAGGATTTCCTGAAAATCAAAATTCCAGATCGGTTTCCCGAGAGGAAACACCCGTGGCAATCTGAACTGTTACGGAAATATCATCTATAGGGGAGGGCTGGGGGGTGGGAGAAGTAACAAACGGGGGAAGCATTTCCAATTCAACCTCCTGAAAGAAATTCCTATTCGAAAAGAAAACCAACTAACAACACACATTTGTTAGAACACAATGCCCATTGATACTCTACTGCCTATTTACCTAGTTCACCTTAACACATAAATCCACAGGGTAGATTTCTTTCCGGATGTGGAAGTATAAGAAAATCTTTTCTTTTCTTTTCTTTTTTTTTTTTTTGGTTATTTGTTTGTTTGTTTATCTTGATCCGGTGTGCTTAGTATCTTATATACAATGAGAGCCAGCTACATAAGAGTAGCTTGAGAGGCCTTGGGAGCCATATATCCCAAACGGGGTTTTCTCTCACCTTCTACCTCCCTCTTGTGAAGGAGAGAATGTGGTAGAAAGAGAGCTGGCCTAATGGCATCATGTTTGATTTCTGAATTTTCCTTTTCCCTTTGTTTAGGGAGTAAATGGGGGAATGGCAGATTTATATGACTTTTCACTCAACTCGATTATGTGCCAGTTGATATGGACTCCGTATGCATGAGGATTTGTGCAGCACAAGCACAACCAAGTCTGTATATAAACGCAGTGCACATGACCCCAGGGCCCGGGACGCTGGTGGGGTGTGCCCTGGGCCTGGCAGCACTCTCTCAGAGCACTTCAGCAGATGAGCCTCTGCTCTTTTCTTAAAACCCTTTTGGGAAGATTTCCCAGCCTCTCTCTTGGCAACACTTTCTGACATCGAATAACCCTCTTCATCAACAAATTGTCTTATTTCGAAATTAACATGCTCAGACTTCCTTGTACTGCCTCGCTCTTTCTCTGGACTCAGAGAGGGTGAGAAGAGCTGTTCAGACATTCTTTGTGTTAAACATTCACATCCACAAAAGTCACTACCAAATGGCCCCACACTCAGCCTTCTCTACCCCGAGCTGAGCACTCCTTCTCTCACTTTTCTGAGTTCTTACTGCCTATGTTTTACTGGTGTGGCCTTTCCACATAATCCACATTAAATTCTCTGTGTTCCCACATGGTGGTAAAGGTAAGAACACCACTCAGTTCACACTTGAATCAGGGTCCAGCCTTTTCTTTGTTGAAGAGGGAATTCTACTCTACACACTTCCTAATAATTACTCATAACTTTTTTAACCCACAGTGCTACATTGTTACTTTCTTGTAGCCGATTGTGTTTGCCTTTGGGATTCTGGGATTTGGCTGTGTCTGTACTAGGATTGGCTGTCATTGCTGTCATGTCTGTGAACAACCCAACTAGATAGCTGGAGCTCCGAAATTAAGGCTTGGGCTTTCTAAACTATCTTTCTTGATTACATCCTTGACCCGTATTGACACAGCCAAAAATAAACTGTTAATAGCCATCCAGCCATGTGACTCTGTATTCTATTAATGTACCAATAGCTCTTTCGTAGACTTGTGGTAAATGAAGATTAAGAGACCAGGTTTTATGTTTTGCTTTCCTCATGCATTTCAATGGGAACTGAAAAATAATTTGTCAATCATTAATTGTGTGCCAAGCACTCCTAATTATTTTTAGTGTGTGTGTGTGTGTGTGTGTGTGTGTGTGTGTGTGTGTGTGTGCATATGTATCACAGGTAATAAAGGCCAGTGGGTGATGTCTGTAGGAGGGGAAAATAATGACCAATTGCTTCTTTTTGACAGCTTTCATTGATGCACATTTATTATGTAAGAGTTTCGGTCTTGATTCCTGTTATTAGTGCTCATTTGTCTATGGATATCTTTCTGAACTTTTGTAATTCTTGCCTTTAAACCTGTGCGACACACCCAGCCAATGTTTCCTTGTGACGATTTGTATGGAGTTAAAAGTTTTACTTAAGTGAAAATGAAAGTTTTACTTGGGGAGTTCAGTTGTCGAGAGAATTATAATTTATGAATTTAAATGGTGTTCTTTTATGTATTAATATATTAGCAGATGTTTGATCTTAACTGCAACATAGCTTTGTAAAGCCTGCCAGTATGTCTTCATTCTTTTCAGTGTTTCTTCACACCGCATCAAAATACCATTCTCCTAATAATAGAAGATCCTGCAAAAATAAATCCCATAAAATAACCCCAAACTCACTGTGCTCAAATGATTCTTGTAACCCTAACTGGAAGTGCTTTCAAAGAGTTGGGGCCTAAATAAGGTGGCCTAAGTCCCAGCTACCTTAAATGTTAGACCTGCCTTTAATGGAATCAAGATAGAAACACACTTGTAAGAATTAGAGAACTAGTATTCTGGCAGTCAACCCATTACTTCAACTATATACTTTAATTAAACACTTCAAAGAAAAGGTTCATGGCATTATTTTGTCCCTTGACCTGTCATGAATTTTTTTTTTCTGCTGAGGCATTCTTTATACCCCTACTCAACAAAACTAGTGTTTGGAAATCTGTTTAAAACAACAACATTTTTCATCTGGGCCAACTCTAGCCTAACACCCACCCCGACTAGTCCAGAGGGCTCAGACAATAACACAGTGTTCATTTGCTTGGCTGTTGGTATAGAGATGAATACAGACCTGTTCAGTAAAAAACTCTGAGGAGGCACTAAGTAAATGGAAATCTTCAGTCCTAGTTTGAGTGGAGTTATCAAGTGACATCTCCGTGGCCTGCAACATTGGAAATGAGTTCTGGGTAAGTGAGTTATAAGATTAAATGCTAGTGGTCCTGGTAGTCAGTTTGACTCATGCCTGTTTCCCTGGACTTAAACTTGTTTTAAGAACATTTAGTTCAATTCTGGGCAGAACAATATGTGGGGCTTGCCTCTTGAATACTGGTTATGACAAGGACCATAAGTTGCTGATATGAAGATGCTAATCGCATCCACGGGGTCAGATGAATGAGGAATCATACGTGTAGAGTCCCACCTTAGGTTGCCTCCCAGGAAATCCTGCAGTGCTAAAATGCAGTGAGCGTGGGGAGGTCCTTCCCTCCAGGTATGTGGTTCTCCTGAAGTCAGAAACATTATTTGTAAAATTCTCCTCACTATCGAAAGGGGAGTGATCTGTGCTGATCAGGAAAACGGGAAGACAGGAAAATAAACCTGTGAGATCGTGGTGGTAGTGTGCTCTCCCTGCCTCTGCTGAGAAAAACATTGCACTGAGATGTGGCCATAAAACAAGAAAGTGAAGTGGCTTCCCAAATATGCAGTGATGTTATCCTTTGTAATTGTAGGCACAGTTATCTTACTGGAAATGCATGCATGGTGAATTAAAATAAAAGGGGAACAATGCACAAAACTGTAAGTGTTCCCTTCACTCTTTATTCCTCTATAGCTATGTTACCCCCAAACAAGTGATTTGGGGGGGGCACATTTATTAATGGGGAGTCAACATGGAGTTTTTCACTCTTCAGTTGTTTGATTCAGAGGCATCCTTATCCATAGACACAGATGTGAGTCGTTCATTCTAGGTTCCTTTAGTTGCCACTGCTTGCGCTTCTGGATAACTTTTGCTTCTCTGGATTTTTTACTCCTCTCTGATTATTCTTTGCCTGTACTGAGCAAAACATGCTCCAGTGAGAAAATTAAAGGCATATATGGTGTTTTGCAAAATTACTTGATGCCATCTCCCATAATGGAAGCCAGATTTCGATTCTCATACATTTTCCTTTGCTACAATTTCAACCCTCCAACTCTGGAGTTATCATGGTAGATTAATCCAGAGCCCTTAAGTGCTAGTATTTCTGCCATGCCCTGGAAGAGAATATGCCATGGAATTTGACTAACCTTGATCTTCTAGGTGATCTTTACTAAAATTAATAAGACACTTTCCGTGAACTTTTAGGAGGAATTATCTGCCACCTCCACCTGACATAGCAATTTATAAAGGAAAAAAAAAATAATAAAGGCCGTTATTTTTCCCCCCCAGTGACTCTGTGGCAGATAAATGTTTTTGCCAATTTGCATGCTGGGTTATAGGTTTAGCATGGACCATTTCTCTCTTTAATGTCTTGATATATTGGTATCTTGCAATCTTTGATGGCCCACTGTTCCAATTTATTTATTTTCTTTTACATTGTCAAAAGAACACACGAGAGAAAGAATCGGAGTTTCTGTGTTCGAAGTTCAAATGGAGTTAGCTGTCATTTGTACAGGACTGCACAATGATTAATATCTGCAGAGAAATTAGACCACATGAAACCTGCTGGAATGAGTTTGATTTATATTGCTTTCATCAGTTTGCTTTTAGATGAAATGGTTATTGCTCTCTACCCCTGCTGAAAGAAAAGAGTCTTAAACTCTAATAATCACAGCACTGTGATGCAAACACAGCGCTTATTTGCTTTAAATGTCTGTTTTTCTCATCTTGCCATGTACGCTGGAATGGAGATTCTCTTCCCAGTGACCTCTCTTACAGTGTTTTTCAATACTCAGCATGCACATAAATCATTTGTAACAGTTGTAAAAGTGCAGATTCCTTCCTCCTAACCCCACAGCATTTGATTCAGAAACTTCAAGTAAGGCCACGTAATCTTTACTTGGGGCTACCATCCTTAATGATTTGGATGGGATGGTCTATGGACCTTACTTTGAGAAATTCTGCTACTTACGGACAAGGTAGCATTTCTCTCACTTCCTCTCCTTTTCTTTCCACTACAAATAAGTCAAAACATGGATTATTCATGATCTTAAGAGAATAGGCCCAAAGGAAACCATCCCAGGACTAGGATAGAATAGAATTCCATGATTCCTTAGCCTTTTATCTATCAACCATGACCTCTTCTCCATTTTGTGTGTGCTTGTTCCTTTTATTTATTTCTTATCAAACTGAAAGCCTCCATTAATATAGCTTTATCCCTGGGTAGATGGGAGCACATCTCTGAGTGAGATGCATCCTAATGATGTCCAGCAGGGAATAAAAATAATGACCTTGCCCTAGGAGAGTTGTTCTGTTCCAGGCCCTTATACAGTTGGAGTAAAAGGAACTTGTGATCTATAATTTAATGATATGTAAGCCCCAAAGGTGGGTCCATTAACTGCACATACAAACATCACCAAAATGAATATGAAATAGTCAGTGAATTTAGTCATATCTCACCCATAAAATCCTGAGTCATTGAACTGTTAAGTTTGTCCAATTTGACTCAAGGAGGACTTATGAAGCTCTCAGCGAGTTGAAGATCCTGAACCCCAACATTAACTAAAAACTTCAAGCAAAAAACCCATGAGGGAGAATAAATACAAAAGAAAGAGATAAGGAATAAATTCAACATAATGGTCGTATTCCATGTGGAATGGCACATTGATCATAGCCACTCCGATCATAGAAAAAGTTTGAAGGGTTTCATTGATCCAGTTGGTCCTGTCCATATTACAGAATAATTGGAGAGGTACCAATTTCCCACACGCTACAAGAAATAGAGAACGGATGGCTTACATTCATGCCTATCATGATCATCAGTGAATATTTAAGTAAGCCTGCTGCCAAAAGAAAGTGGAAAATGGTTTGTGAAACTCATGAACTTGAACGACTAATTAAGATTATTTGCCCATGATTTGGTGGTTTTTTTAATGTTAAATTTGATTCTGCTTGCTTCTTTTATTTCCCAAGTGGAATCCCTTTACTTGCCTCAGCTTCCTAACCTTTAAAAAATGTTCCTCTTGTTTGTGAACAAATTGTGTTGTTTATTGGGTAAAGAAATTTTAGTTCTTTAACTGCCATCCTTGCTGTATTTATTTTGACAAGGCTAAAGAAAAAATGTGTCCTAGCCCAGCAACTATCAAGGGGCTTGTCCTGGGGCAGAGCGGTGGTGACATTGCTGTTCATCAGCATCCAGAAATCACTTATATGCCATGTGGAGGACTTAGCAAGTTTGCTCTTTTCTCCAGCAACCTCTTCCATCTTGTCAGTTTATTCTTAGAATTGACCTTTAGCTAATTTACCTGCATTTGCACAATAAAAATCAACATTACTTCAGACTCTCTCCCTGATGATGTGGGCTCTGTCCATTACAAGTGGAAACAGGATTAATACACAGCCAAGGAGTAGAGAAGGGTTGCTTTCTAATTACACCTGTGTGTGTGTGTGTGTGTGTGTGTGTGTGTGTGTGTGTGTGTGTATGCACACGTGCAATTTTTAGGTCAGTGTTGAGTCAGTGGCTAATGTTCATGTAATGCTATCTGATTTCCTGGAAAAAGTTTAAACTTTGCTTACAAAGTTTAACAGCTTTTAATTCAGCACAATAGTTTTTCTGTACTTAGTCTGTCAGTCCTTGAAAATGTTGGGTAAAGCTGGTCTCCTGATGCGAAATTCAAACATCGCAGATTTCTGGGTGAAAATCAAACTCATTTTCATTCATATAGTCACTAGTGGTATCTTACTCAGAGAGAGAATGAGAGAGGGAGGGAGAGAGGGAGAGAGAGAGAAATGAGAAAAAGAAAAAAGAATGCATTGAAATCTAAAATAAGATATGCATTGATTGTTAGCAGTTTTTCTCAGTTGTTCTCAGTTGCAGACAGTGGTCAGTGGTTTACCCTTGTGCAGGAGAGACAGAAACAATTTCAGGAGACACTCTACTCTGACTTGTGTGGGAATCTGCACTGAGGCAGGGGCTCTCCTCCCAGGCACTTTTGCCAATGCGTAGGGACATTTTTTATTGTCCTGACTTGAGAGGTGCTACTAGCATCCAATGGGGAAAAGCCTAGGGAGGCTGCTGAACACCCCACAATGCACAAGACAGCCCCCCACAAAGAATTATTCCACCCTAAATGTCAGTAGCACTGAGGTTAAGAAGCCCTGAGTTAAGGGTTGGCTCCAGTTTTTCAAGGCATTTTTCCCATGGAGACAAGAACTTCTGGGTTAAGAGATAGGATGAAATGCAACAACAATAATTAGTGCCACTTTAAATCTGCAGATAGTTTATTTGAAGCGAAACACAATTATCTCTTTACACAGATGTGAACGCTGAGATGTAGAGGAATAAATACATCATATTTTCCCAGAGATCCAGCAGTGATGGGCAGGCCTGTGGGGTAGGTCCCTGTCTTCTGCTTCCATCTGTTTCTGCCTCTGAAGAATGACATTTCAGTGAAGTCATCCACCTAACCGCTAAATGCGTTCATCATAAAGCACTTTGGAAGCATTTTCAGTTCACATGACCCTACCTGAGATGTTTTTCAAACTTATCAACAGTAGACAATGAAGTGCTCTCAGAAATGGAACAGAAAAGGGGGAGCAAGAGTGATTAGAATAGGCCAATGATTTCACTGCCCTTCACTGCTCATTGTGGTCTTTGCTTCTTTAGGTGGAATAGCCCCTCATTAAGATGACATTGAGATCTTGGAAAATATGATTCTCAGACTCACCATACAGGTGGCCCCTAGGCCCTTGTTTTGAAAGATGTGACAAGTCTAAGCACAGGCCCTGGCTTCTGAACCTTATGATGTCATGTGTATGTACTGACTTTATTACAACGCAAAGCATATTTGTGTCTTAAATAATTTGACATTTTTCTTCTAATTTATCATGCCACCCTCCCAGTAATGGATCAAAGGTCTGATCACTCTACCCCTATTGTATATAAGGGGAACCGAGGACCCAGAGCGTTTAAGTCAGCATTCATTTATCCACTTGTTCATTCATTCATTCGGCAGGTATTTGAGTGCCTGGCATTTCCAGTCTGTGGTGAGGTTCTGGGAGGGAATCAGACTTGGGAGATAGAGCTGGAATTCGGATCACCTAAATCCTAGACTAACATTATTTTTTCCTATAGTTCTGATCATTCTAGATTTAGAGTTTAACTATTTAAATATAGTTACTGATAATGTATATTAAGGAATTATTATTATGTGCCCAAAATGCCACTAAGTGCTTTATATAAAGCCTTATTTCATTGAACCCTATAAAATAATCCAATGAAGTAGGCCCAGTGACTGCCCTGTTTCTACAAACGAGGTCAGTGAGGCTCAGCTAGCACAACTCGACAGCGGCAGACCCAGGTTTTCATCTGTGCTTACTGGACTCCAGAGGCTGATGGCTTAACCACCTCACTATATAATCTTTTCCTTCTGTTTTCTGTATTTCATCTGTTCCTCACTTCTTCTACTCCAAGCAAAGGTAGCGAGAAAGAATCCATCCTGACATCCTTCCTGGAGTTACTAGCTATTTTAAATTGCAAATTCCGTTGGACAGGCATCTTCCTCAGAGATGAAGGAAAGGCAGATTTGGACAGGTAGTTTCGTCTAACACACACTGTGCTTTAAGGCACAAGCCTTATCAAAGGGCAGTAAGAGTGTAGACCAAGTATCTGGTAGTACTGATAACCCTAAGAAACCCAAAGCGGCAAGATGGCTTCCATGTCTAGAGGACTGCAGCTACTGTTGCTGTGCTGTTTACAGGTGAGCAGGGCAAATCTCATGAGAGGTAACCTAGGTGTATGTGCCCATGTGTGTATAGGCTTGTATCTGCTATTTTCACCTTTCAGCTTTTTAAGCAATCTCGGTTTTTGTTCAAGACAGGTTAGAAATCCAAATATGACTGGCTGCCCCCAGCCCCTCATCATTACTGTTCTAAGTTGGAAAAAAGAGGCAGCTACAGGAAAGAAACTGCATTGAAATATGCGTGTGTGTATGACAGCAGTGTGTGTATGTATGTATGTATGTTATGTATGTGTGTTTATAAAATGTGCATATTTGTATATATGTTTGTACATCTCTCTAAATGTATATATCTATATCTATACATATGTATACCACACATAAACAAATTTTATAGTTTGAAACTGGAATCTTGAGTTTGAGGGACGATGATGATGATAATTTTTATTTGGTTTCCTAGACAGTTTAATATAGTTATGTTTTCCAAAATTCCCTTCTATTATGAGTGTATG